TACTAACTTAACAACTTCAATGATTCACTTAACAACTGTGGCAAAAAAGGCCATAAAATGGAGCAAAACTCACTTAACAACTGTTTTGTTTAGCAACAGAAATGTTGGGCTCAATTGTCATAAGTCAATGTGTGTGTATACAGTGTGTATATAGATAGATAGATAGATAGATAGATAGATAGATAGATAGATAGATAGATAGATAGATAGATATAGAGAGGGGGGGGACAGAGACAGAGACAAGATTTCCAAGCCATATAAAATTAAATAAGAATTTTCAAAGTAATATTATATTAGCATTGTATATAAAGATGACCTTAGCATTTAAAATTTATTGTTAAAATCAAGTCAATACTTAGCAAAGGCACCCAAAATACTAACAATTATTAATCAGAGTAGTTTCTAAACTAAGAGTGTTTATTATTATTCTCAGACAAAATCTAACATTTTAAGGCCTTACGTTTAAGAGTAAGCTGAGCTTCAGATGTGATACAAGTCCCTGTGCAAAATTATAGCCCAACTTAAATTAAATTTAGCATCTCGTTGCTTTTTTCAATTTTAAAAAAGTGATTGCACTGAGACATCCTTACTTTGCCTCTAAATGAAGCAATCAATGCCTTGCAGCTATAGAGGAGATGTAGCAAATCTGTCCTTGTTACATTTCTTCTGGAAAAAAAAAGAGGAGTGATTGATTACTCAATTCATTTCATGAAGACCCTGGGAAGCTCCATGATATTTCAGTAACATTTCCTGTGGGATGTGTAGTAGTGTAACAGCGATGATTTTGGAGGTACAGGTAGTCCTCGACTGACCACAAAATTTTTGTTGCTAAGTGAGACAGTTGTTAAGTGAGTTTTGCCCCACTTTATGACCTTTCTTGCCACAGTTATTAAGTGAATCACGGCAGTTGTTAAGTTAGTAACATAGTTGTTAAGTGAATGTGGCTTACCCATTGACTTGGCATGTCAGAAGGTCAGAATACTTACCTTTAGAATACTTTAACAGGATAGCAGAGTTGGAAGGGACCTTGTAGGTCATCTAGTCCAACCCCCCACCCAAGCAAGAGACCCTACACCATTTCAGATGGCAGGTTACAAAAGGTGATCACATGATCCCGGGACACTGCAACCATCATAAGTATGAGTCCGTTGCCAAGTATCTGAATTTTGATCATGTCACCATGGAGATACTGTCATGGTTGTGTGGGTGAAAAACTCTCATAAGTCACTTTTTCCAGTGCCATTGAGTGTATCTTTGTACAGTCACTAAACGAACCGTTGTACGTTGAGGACTGCCTGGGTACAACCCCTGTGTTTGGAATGGCTCTGAAGGATGATAGCTTAGAACCCAAAATTATCTAAGAAGAAAATTGAACCTGGCGTCTGTTTTTACATTCGCGCTCACCATAGATCACAAGTTATGGCTCACTTTTTTAATATTCTACTATAGCACATTGTGCTAAGCCAAAATGTATTGCAGGAAGGGGGAGGAGGAGGACTATTGGTTTTGTCTTAACAGGCTATGTAAATCCAACCAATTGCTTCTTTATTTAGTCCGATGGAAAGGTTTGTCAATATTTGATTATGCAGAAGTTCCTGAGACTTTATAGCTAAGAGTGAGATGTGATTAATATTCTTGGAATATAAGTGTCATGATTAGTAACTACTGTGCTTGTTATGCTAGCTAGGAGTATTGGAAACTAATTCAGTATTTTGAAAGGCAACTATTTCACCAATCTTTCATTAGGGATAGGGATCAAGGCAGGGGTGAAATCCAGCAGGTTCTGACAGGTTCTGGAGAACCGGTTGCGGAAATTTGGAGTAGTTCAGAGAACCGGCAAATGCCACCCAGAGGATTTTGCAATATCCTTCCCCCAGGAGCGGGGAGGGAATGGGGATTTTGCAGTATCCTTCCTTTGGAGTGGGGTGGGAATGGAGATTTTGCAGTATCCTTCCTCTGCCATGCTCACCAAGCCATACCACGCCCACAGAACCGGTAGTAAAAAAATTTGGATTTCACCACTGGATCAAGGATAAGGCCTTGAGCCAATCCGCTTATAAATATTTGTGTTACACTAATAAGAGTCTATGAAGATTCTCAGTTATCCAGGTCATGGTTGTCCCAAAGGTGCTTTTTTCAGGAGGCAATTGGACTTTCTGGTTTTTCTTTGAAGACATTTTGCTTCTCATCCAAGAAGCTTCTTCAGCTCTGACTGAATGGTGGGGAATGGAAGGATTTATACTCCTTGCGGACAGCTGGTCATTTGCATTCTTTTAGCGAGTCACTGAGGCTACCTGGAGACCAGCTGTCTACAATTAGTATAAATCCTTCCATTCCCCACCATCCAGTCAGAGCTGAAGAAGCTTCTTGGATGAGAAGTGAATCGACTTCAAAGAAAAACCAGAAGTCTAGTTGCCTTTTGAAAAAGCACATTTGGGACACTAATAAGAGCTTCAATATTGAATGACTGTCTAGATCAGTCTTTCTCAAGCTTTTTACCCTTGAAGCCCCTTGAAATAATTTTCAAATCTCAGGGATCCCTGCCTTAAAACATATTACAGTGGGGCAAAAAAGTATTTAGTCAGCCACCAATTGTGCAAGTTCTCCCACTTAAAAAGATGAGAGGCCTGTAATTGTCATCATAGGTAGACCTCAACTATGAGAGACAAAATGAGAAAACAAATCCAGACAATCACATTGTCTGATTTGGAAAGAATTTATTTGCAAATTATGGTGGAAAATAAGTATTTGGTCGATATCAAAAGTTCATCTCAATACTTTGTTATATATCCTTTGTTGGCAATGACAGAGGCCAAATGTTTTCTGTAAGTCTTCACAAGGTTGGCACACACTGTTGCTAGTATGTTGGCCCATTCCTCCATGCAGATCTCTTCTAGAGCAGTGATGTTTTGGGGCTGTCGCTGGGCAACACGGACTTTCAACTCCCTCCAAAGATTTTCTATGGGGTTGAGATCTGGAGACTGGCTAGGCTCCAGGACCTTGAAATGCTTCTTACGAAGCCACTCCTTCGTTGCCCAGGCGGTGTGTTTGGGATCATTGTCATGCTGAAAGACCCAGCCACGTTTCATCTTCAATGCCCTTGCTGATGGAAGGAGGTTTGCACTCAAAATCTCACAATACATGGCCCCATTCATTCTTTCCTGTACATGGATCAGTTGTCCTAGTCCCTTTGCAGAGAAACAGCCCCAAAGCATAATGTTGCCACCCCCATGCTTCACAGTAGGTACGGTGTTCTTTGGATGCAACTCAGCATTTTCTCTCCTCCAAACATGACAAGTTGTGTTTTTACCAAACAGTTCTACTTTGGTTTCATCTGACCATATGACATTCTCCCAATCCTCTTCTGGATCATCCAAATGCTCTCTAGCAAACTTCAGACGGGCCCAGACATGTACTGGCTTAAGCAGTGGGACACGTCTGGCACTGCAGGATCTGAGTCCCTGGTGGCGTAGTGTGTTACTGATGGTAGCCTTTGTTACGTTGGTCCCAGCTCTCTGCAGGTCATTCACTAGGTCCCCCCGTGTGGTTCTGGGATTTTTGCTCACTGTTCTTGTGATCATTTTGACCCCATGGGGTGAGATCTTGCATGGAGCCCCAGATCAAGGGAGATTATCAGTGATCTTATATGTCTTCCATTTTCTAATTATTGCTCCCACAGTTGATTTCTTCACACCAAGCTGCTTGCCTATTGCAGATTCAGTCTTCCCAGCCTGGTGCAGGTCTACAATTTTGTTTCTGGTGTCCTTCGACAGCTCTTTGGTCTTCACCATAGTGGAATTTGGAGTGTGACTGTTTGAGGTTGTGGACAGGTGTCTTTTATACTGATAACAAGTTCAAACAGGTGCCATTAATACAGGTAATGAGTGGAGGACAGAGGAGCCTTTTAAAGAAGAAGTTACAGATCTGTGAGAGCCAGAAATCTTGTTTGTAGGTGACCAAATACTTATTTTCCACCATAATTTGCAAATAAATTCTTTCCAAATCAGACAATGTGATTGTCTGGATTTGTTTTCTCATTTTGTCTCTCATAGTTGAGGTCTACCTATGATGTCAATTACAGGCCTCTCTCATCTTTTTAAGTGGGAGAACTTGCACAATTGGTGGCTGACTGAATACTTTTTTGCCCCACTGTATATCTACAGGACAGGGTGATTAATAAACTGAATTGTGCATAGAAAGCACAAGCTTTCCGAGCACTAGCATTTAGTGGTATGCAACATTTAAAATGGAATGTTTGGTTGTTTTTAGTCATGATCTGTTACAGAACCCGAGTAGAGAAGGGCCGATCATCCTAACTTGGTACCAGGCATGAAATCCAGCAGGTTCTGACAGGTTCTGGAGAACCAGTAGCAGAAATTTTGAGTAGTTTGGAGAATCGGCAAATACCATCTCTGGCTGGCCCCAGAGTGGGGTGGGAATGGAGATTTTGCAATATCCTTCCCCCAGGAGTGGGGAGGGAATGGATAGTTTGCAGTATCCGTCCCCTGGAGTGGGGTGGGAATGGAGATTTTGCAGTATCCTTCCCTTGCCACACCCACCAAGCCACACCACGCACACCACACCACACCACGCCCACAGAACTGATATTAAAAATAATGAATTCCACCACTGCTTGGTACCCTCCAAGAAGTCTCCTAATTTCCCAGCAAAACGCCATGATAGCTTGGGATGATAAATTGACATCCAAAATATTTAGAGGACAGTAGCTAAGGGACCTTAAAATCTTTTGCATAGTGTTCATCACATTCCATCACATTATGGTTTCCTCTATACTTCTCCCACTCCTTCCCCCTCCCCATATCGTACACATAAGCAGGTGCAGCAATTGTGACACTATCTTGTGATAAGGATGTGCTATCCGTACCTACTGCAAGACTTATGAGTTACTGACTGAGTAACTGTAGCAGCACCGTTTCACGCCTTTCCCTTTTTCAGGCAACTTATTTCACACACATTTATAAACATCACTTGGTATTTAGAATGTCAGGCATGGAAACCAATTCAAGCCCTTGAATCACTTCAGGAAACCGTATGTGATGTGACTTATTCTGACATGTTTACCGGTACATCCTCTAAGGTGAGGGAAAAGGTCTTGCTTTGTTCTTGAAAGGCAGAATACATCTTGTGTTGAAACCTGTTACCAGTCCTGACTTATCTCGGGCAACTTTGATTTACTTCTGCAAGTTGAAATAGAAGAATCATTTATTTATTTATTTATTTATTTATTTATTTATTTATTTATATTTATTTATTTATTTATTTATTTATTTATTTATTTATTTATTTATTTGTCAAATACATATAAGATAACAGATATAAGTATAAACATGATTATGAATACAGGATAAGGATACGAATAAATGGGGACAGTAGGACAGGGATGGTAGGCACGCTGGTGCGCTTATGCACGCCCCTTACAGACCTCTTAGGAATGGGGTGAGGTCAAGAGTAGACAGTCTAAGGTTAAAGTTATGGGGGTTTGGGGAAGTAACCACAGAGTCAGGTAGTGCATTCCAGGCATTGACCACTCTGTTGCTGAAGTTATATTTTCTGCAAAAAAAGTTTGGAGCGGTTTACCTTAAGTTTGTTTCTATTGTGTGCTAGTGTATTATTGCAGTTGAAGCTGAAGTGGTCATTGACAGGTAGGACGTTTTAGCAGATAATTTTGTGTACTACGCTTAGGTCAGACCGAAGGCGGTGTAGTTCTAAGTTGTCTAAGTCCAAGACTTCAAGCCTGGTGGCATAAGGTATTCTATTGTTTTAATTTTAACTTTTAATTTTATTTTTATTGCTTTAATTTTAACTTGCTCTCCTGTATTTCTTATGGTTGTGGTTATAAGGTTCAAACTTCATTAGGGCTACTGGATCTAGGCTGCAAAAATCTGGGCAATCATTAGAATGAAAAGAGCATTCTATCTGTCTGTCTGTCTTTCTTTCTTTCCACTGAGTGATCTTCCAGAAGTTACAATCCAGATCTGATACGGTACCGCTAAGTTTCACACTTGATGCCTTCTGTCATAGGTTTCTTTTTCCAAAATAATGCTCATCAATTTTATATAACATCTGCCATTTAGGACAAAGAAAGAAAAACTCCCTCTTGCATAAACATGATTCCTTCTGTATATGACTGACAGGTTGCTTTAATGTCTATCAATATTAGGCTGTCATCTTAACTGAAGTTTCTGGAACCCACACTGCATATCGGACATTAATACAATTGAACGTGTCCAGAAATATTTCACAAGAGTAGTCCTCCACTCCTCTGCTCGCAACAAAATACCTTATGCCAACAGACTTTAAATTTTAGGCTTAGAAAATTTAGAACTACATCACTGTAACGGGTTGCCCCTGGTTCGGATCGGTTCACAAGAACCGGTAGTAAAACCAGCAGGATACTCCGCCCACTGACCTTGATGTCATTCTGCGCATGTGCAGAAGTGTGCGCGAGCGAGCAAAGCAACCGCGCACGGGTGGCCCCATTGCAAACCAGAGATAAAGGTAAGTTGAACCCACTCCTGCTACACCACCTTCGGTATGACCTAAACATAGCTCATAAAATCATCTGCTACAATGCCCTACCTGTCAATGACTATTTCAGCTTCAACCACAACAATACACAAGCACACAAAAGATACAAACTTAAAGTGAACTACTACAAACTCGATTGCAGAAAATATGACTTCAGCAACAGAGTGGTCAATGCCTGGAATGCATTACCTGACTCTGTGATTTCATCCCAAAACCCCCAAAATTTTAACCTTAGACTGTATACTGTTGGCCTCACCCCATTCCCAAGAGGTCTGTAAGGGGCGTGCATAAGAGCACCAGCGTGCCTACCATCCCTGTCCTAATGTTCCCTTTAATTGTATTCATTTTATGTATTCAATTCATGCTTATACTTATATATATTATCTAATACGTACTCGACAAATACATAAATAAATAACAAAAAAATTAAATATTCTGTCTTTGGTATAGGGATTAGAGAAATGTCCTCAAGTAGAAACCTTCCCTTTTTGTTGGGAGTCTTGTCATTGTCCCATCAACATGGATAAGGTTAGGCCAATTGGTAGATTACTAGTAGGAAAGCTATGATCTTCCGGATAGGGTGAACATATAACTGCCATCATCCCATCTGACCATATGCAAAGTTGAAGCCCTGGCTCCCATATGGAGGTCAATATTGTTGTATATCTTCAAGATGCATCAAGCTCTTAATATTTCCTGCATATCCCTCCTCAACTCCTTATGAGTTTACTGATAAGTAAATAAAATTAAGTAATTTTATTTACTTATCAGTAAATAAAATACAATAAGTAAAGACAAAGTGAGAAAATGGATGGGAATGGAGAAATCACCCTCAAAAAGTGGATGCAGCTAAGGCAAAATAAGAGCTTTCCATGGGATACTCCTACTTTACCCTTGCCTTACCACATTCTGCAAAAATCCAAGTGTGACCTCTCAAACATTAGGCTGTATTTCTAGCATCTCTGTTCAGAAAGAACAGAAGAAAAGGAAGATCTTCCCCTAAGAACACAGCAAGCAATTGCCTGTCAGACTTGAAAATATAGTATTGGCTTGGTGGACAAAATAGTTTTGACTGCTATAAAGATAACCGCTTATGTTTTATAACTTTCCTAAATTATTTGCAAAAAGCCTGAATGACTTTTTGCAAATTTTGCACACTGTTTTTCTTTGATAGTAGAAGCCTTATATCTCACCTACCCAGGATTGAAGACAGTTTACTTACGGCAAAGATGGCGATCTTTGCCTTCTGTGTGGACATATCTAATGCTGACACCATGCATCTGACTGCAACATCTATCTGCATAGTTACTTAATCATAATATTAGGTTAATCAAGTTGAAATGTTTTTCATTGAGTTACAGCCATATTCTAAAAGGTCTCATAAATTAAAACTCAAGCTTAATTCCAATAAGACTCACATCTCTTAATCAAAGAAATGATTCAGCTGCATAAACAGAAAGTCTTACTAATGTATAACTGATGGGTTGTTGCATACCCTAAAAGAGATGCTCTATAAAATAAATTTTGATTTGGATCTACCTATGCAATAGCCTTTGTAATTCCTTAATAGAGGAATTGCATGTGTTTGATGTGCTAAACATCCTATGCTTTCCCCCTTCTGCCTACAGTTGCTCTTTCTGAACCAATTCTTCTTTCCCCTTTGGTTTTTGGATAGCTATCTAGCTGGACATAACCCCATCCAGGTAGAGAGAGGAATAGATGGATTAAGAAATCTGATTTAAAAGGCAATCATTTTACTGTAACATAAACTGGCCTGCGAATTAGAATTTCAAAAGTATTTTAAGTAAAGTAATAGAAACCTATATGAAGAATGGTTGGGTGAGAGAGACAGCCTTGTGGGCATTCAGCATTCAACAATCCTTTGCAGGAGGTAACATGTCAAGATAAACTCTGTAATCATCAGTTCTGGGGTATCTATTGCATAAAACTTTCTAATTTAGATACATAATTGATTTTAGTAGAAGAAGCGGACTCAGGGCCCAATAATGGCAATACTACCTTTTTTCATAATGCATGAAAGTAGATTAGCCCAGCTACACAAATAGTAATAAATACTTCTTGTACACTAGGCAGGGTTGATGTAAATCAGGCTTGCATAAACTGACCTGCAAAGCCAACTATGCTTTACCACCATATAAGGCAGTCGCCAGGAATGTTGTAAATCTCTTGGGGCTGCTTGTTTGGAATTGCAAAAGGTTGCCCAGGATCTTCTTACTAGCAATATACAATTTACAATCTTAATTCCACTGGTAGTGCCTAAATTGTGCAGGCATAGAGAAACGGGGGCACTTTCAATTTCCCATGCATCCAGTCAAAAGACACAGTAACTGCATTGTAGTTGCATTCGGAAGACTTACTAAACCGCCGACCAGCCAATCACATTCGAATACAGCATGTGTGGTACAAACCCAGACTTAATAAATTCCTTAGAAAAACCCCAAAAATAGAGTTGATGAGTAAATAATTTTCAATTTAGATTGTGTTGTACACTACTTGCAAAAAAGATTGGACGAATACAAAGAGGCCTCAGTAGTGAATGGAATGGGGACAACTATCAGAGGAGACCTCCCAAGAGGACAAGAAGACACAAAGGAATGTTGTGATGTCACAACATATTGCATTGTGATGTCACAACATAATGCCCAGAATTTAAGCATTTACATAATGATATAAGAATGCATTTTTTGGGTCATTTTTCTGCCTTCCCAGTTTGAAATATATGCCTATGACAACCTTGATGGAATAACCTCATTATGGTTTTGACTGATGGTGCTATAAGCCTCATCTGGAATTATGTGATTCATTGATTGGAATTAGGTGTAATGTGAAACAACCTGAGAAAGGCAATTAAAAAAAAAGATCTGTCTACATTGGAATCTAGCTAACCATTTTGTCCTTAAGTTTGAATACCCTTTTCAGAACTGTTGTGGGATTGCTAAAAAAAATTTTTTTTTCAGGGTGGAAGAAAGCAGCGTTGTCTTCCAGAATGCTTCCCCACTTCTGCAAACAAATCACGGGATTGAATTCTAATGAGTTTGGATTCTAGTTGAGTTCAGAAGAAAAACAAGTCACTGTGTTATTTTAAAATGCTGTAATTATAACTATATATAAAAAGGACCTAGCTGCAGTATTTTGTAATCAGAGTAACAAAAGAGTGATAAAATGATACTTTTTAATACAGCAGATTGGAGCTTTCATTTCATCATGCGAAATAAAAAAAATCATGAGGATGGAAGAAGAACTGTGCATCTCAGCACTTGCCCAGGAGGAAGCAAACAGAACAGCTGGAAATGAATTATTGAGGAGTGCAGGTATGTCCCAGAGTATGAATTGGGGCCATTTAGATCAGGAGTCTCCAATTTGGCAACTTTAAGAATTATGAACTTCAAATACCCAGAATTCCTCAATCAGCCATGCTGGCTGAGGAATTCTGGGAATTGAAGTCCACAATGATCTAGACCAGGGGTGTCAAACTCACATCATCATGGTGGTGTCACGTGACCAGGGCCGGATTTAGATGAAAAGAGGCCCTAGGCTATTCCACTTATGAGGCCCTTTCACCTATAGTGAAAGTGTAATTTTAATTTTGCTAACAATTTGAATGTAGGCCCCTCTTGATCTTGAGGCCCTAGGCTGAAGCCTAGTTAGCCTATAGGAAAATCCGGCCCTGCACTTGACGTATCGGGACTTTTTCCCCCTTCATTAAACTGGGCGTGGGCCTGATCAGCACATGACACATGCGGCCAGTGGGCCAGGAGTTTGACAGCTCTGATCTTTACCTCTGATCTACATCATTGTGGACTTCTATTAAAATAAGAATTTGTAAGGTAGTGATAGGTATACAGTAAATTATGCTGATAAAATAACCAGAGACAGGTTGGGGTAAGATCAGGGGTGAAATCCAGCAGGTTCTGAAGGTTCTGGAGAACTGGTAGAGGAAATCTTGAGCAGTTCGGAAAACTGGCAAATACCACCTGTCTGGCCCCAGAGTGGGGAGGGAATGAGGATTTTGCAGTACTCTTCCCCTAGAGTGGGCTGGGAATGGAGATTTTGCAGTATCTTTCCCCTGGAGTGGGTTGGGAATGGAGATTTTGCAGTATCCTTTCCCTGCCACGCCCACCAAGCCACACCACGCTCACCAAGCCATGCCCACAGAAACGGTAGTAAAAAATTTGGATTTCACCACTGGGTAAGATTGTATGACACCTGAATAAGTTATTCACATGGGAAAACCAGAGCTGGTTTTGATCCTTCAGTACCAAAATGGTGTATCCAATAAAGTTTTACTTTTGGCAATTCAAAGCTCTCAAGAGTGTTTCCATATTTTGGGTCCTCTAGTCCAGTTTTCATTTACAACTGGAAATCCCTGGCTTTGACAATATATATCTTAGTTATCAGCATAACATCTCTACACATTAAAATCTTGCCTAGGTATAGCTTCGTCTGTGTGCCTGTGTATCTAGATTTTCTTCCAAGAATCAAAATCTTTTTATTTTACAGCTATAGTCACCATCTCTTGGTGAATTTATGAGACTATAAAATAAACTTTTACTATTTAACTTTTCCTCTGCTTATTTACACTAGTTCACTTTATCTGCCGACGTTATTTTGGTATTGTTTTAATATTCATCAGCAAACTGGCTTTGGTATTCTCTTGCAGTTTCAACAAAAGATTCCTTAAGTCTTTCTCATTTGCAGTTCTCTTTGAAGTTATTGATATTTCTCCCAGTGCTTTAAATTCCAATTTCTATTTTTTCTCAAATCTTCTGCATGCAGGTTAAATAAGTAAAGTGACATTATGTAGCCTCGGTGCACTTCTTTCCCAATTTTGAGCTATTGTATTCAGTTGCTTCATAATCTGTTATTTTGTCAGGGTCTTTTCTACAACCATCCAAACACAGCATTTGGGATCCTGTGCAACACAGTGATTTTTATTCAGCCTTCACTCCCCCTCCCCCAAACTAAGGTATTCAATAAGCAACTTGTATTCCAAGTTATAGCAGAAATATGATCACTTATTTGCAACTTTTGTGATTATATTACTCCTGTTTGATTTAGTTGAATGATTAGTGATAAAGTGCCTTTTAATTAAACAGCTTATGTTGCAAATTTAGAAATGGCAATTTAATCCATAGTTCTTCTCTGGTTTTTTTAACCTATTTTTTCATTTTTATAAAGAACTCAGGAAGTGGAGGATTATAAGAAAGGAAGAAGGAAAGATCAGAATAACCCCATATAAGGAATAAAAGATTAATTAAGGGGGAACCAAAGACTAATTTGCAATTAGTTCTGTAGCTATACTGATCAGGGGAGAATATCCCGTAGAGAAGCTGGAAGGTTAAACTATTAATTAATGTCACATTAGGATCCTCTCTCTCTCTCTCTCTCTCTCTCTCTGTCATATGAATATATGTGTGTGTGTGTGTGTGTGTGTGTGTGTTTGTGTGTGTGTGTATACACTGTGTTTGTGTCTACTTATATTCATATATAGAGACAAAAGACCTTTGGAACCAGTGCAGCTGCCTATTCAGACTAAGGATTAGCGCTAAGGATAGGCTTGTATAATTTAGGTAAACCATGGTTCAGCTAATTTATGGTTTGTTGATGGTTCAGCATGTCCTGTGAATCCAGAAAATCATGGCGTGTTGTATAGTTCTAGCCTAAATTTCTGATGTCTACTTCTCCTATAGGAGCAAGGATGTATAGGATATGAAAATGAAAGAATTCCAAATCACATTGTTTTACCATTCCAGGATAGGCTCTCTCTTTGTCAACTTGTGCATTGAAGAAGAAGAGTTGAGATTAACTTTCAAAAATCAATATTGGGAATAGCCTGTTTGCCAAAATCTCTACTCTAACTTGCCGCAAATCTCTAAAACCTTTCTCTGATACCACAATTTTGGACTATCACAGTAACTAGGAAATGAAGATTTAAATATTATGACCCCTTTGCTATTTTTTATATTTCTTCTGAACGATGGAAAGCACACTGCCCAGCTCCCTCAAGAGAGCGACAGTACCAAAAGAGTTAGTATATAATTAAACCTTGTGGAAAAAGAGTGATCTGTTTGGTGGATTTATGTTCCGTGGTATGATGAAGTAGGCTTAAATATTCAGGAGGATTAGCAATAGAGCTGCCTTCTGGGAAAGAGATTTCTGGAACAATGGTTGATTGAAGACTAATATGAAGGCACTTCTTCCTGGTTTTAATTAATTAGGTTTCATTGACCTACTCAGCCCTTGTCTAAACAAAAGAATGGCCTTGCACGCCTTATTAATCAGCACCTTGAATTCAGAAATATCTGTCCAACTTGTATTTGCTTTTAGAGTATATGTTTGCTCCTTGCCCTCCCATAGTAATCTCACACAGCTCTGAACACCAAAGAAAAGGTAGACCTTTAATAGAAAATAAGGGGACCAATTCACCTCTCCCTTCCTTCTTAGCACACTCAGCAGTCCATTAATAAAGGCTCCTGGGATGGCATGATTTGTGATTACTGGCATTAGTTAATGGAGGCTGGTAGACTGCCAAAACCTGTGTTGTTTGGTTTATATATAATGCAGGCCTATCTGATCGAAATTACAGCAAATGCATTGTGAGACGCTGGGTAAATAGGAGGAACTCTTTAATATATTTTTATAAGCTGTAAAATACTGGTGGCATCAGAAAGAAGGAGGCTAAAGGGCATGGTGTGAGGCTATTGCTCACTTCTACTCTGCTTCACAGAGGTTGATTTACCAATAAAGGAGAATATCTGTAGCTCAGGGCTGAAACGACGGGCCTTTGACGCTCTCTGAGCTTGGCTGATTTCTTGCAGGCATTTCATTACCCAACTAGGTAACATCATCAATGGTAGAGGTTGATTTTCCCCACACTGGTTATGCAAGGACAGCATCTGGATCGTGACGTGATTTTTTCCCCCCTACTCTCTGTGGGATTCATTTACTATTTTGATGTGTTTGTGTTCTTGTACCTTAGGCAGATGCCTTGGCATGTGGGATAATCTTACCTGTTGGCTGTCTTCTTCCATCGGACAAACTGTTAGTGCACCCTGTCCCCGAGCCTTTCAAATAGTCACTGGACAAACAGGTAACATGAAAACCATGATTTAATGCAGGGCGGGTTTCAAAACCCATAGCTACCAGTTTGCTCGTGGGTGCTTGCGCACTTGCGCATGCATGCGACGCTTCTGCACATGCGTGCGTGGGCAACGCACGCATGCGTGGATGGGTGGAGCCTCCCACCACCGCCGCTACTGGTTCATTCGATCCAGGGAGAACCGGTAACAACCCACCACTGTTTTAATGGTCTCACATGTTTTCAGAGGATCTGGGAGTTGCTTTAGGTTTTTGGAACTGAAGAAGTTAGACTGTCAGTGTCCCGAGTAACGCACCCATTGAAAGCATAACTCTGAGGCAGGCAGATTCCCCAAAGAATATGTTTATTGGATACAACATATCGGCACAGCCGGTAAAAACCAACTGAAAGTTCCCGTGGTTTTCACCTAATTAAAAGAATAATATTTACAATGTGTCATCTGTCATGTTGTCCAATGAATATGGCTGTCAGGCTCCTCTCCTCCTTCACCAGCCACCTGTTACAATGACCTTGGTTCCCACAGGAAAACTTTTTATTTTGGCTGCAAGCTGGGCTATCTACTTCCCCCCACTCCCCTTCTTTCTCAGGCTTTGTGGCAACTGTGAGGCAGGACAAGATGGCTTCAACCAGGTTCACCTCAGAGTTGCCATAGGCTACTTTTCAAACTGTATGGGACCAACTTCTGTTTTTATAAGAAGAATTTTGTCTATTTTTCATCCCCAAAGCCCAGGACACCAAAGTTGCTCATTTTGGGCACCAAAACACTGTAGGTTGAGCACTGAGAGTTGCATTATAAAAGCAAAACAGTAATAGGTCCAAGAATTGGATTGCTTCCTTGCTTGTTTATTTCCTACAAGACTCAAAGTGACACTTGGTAGTTGTCTAGACCACTACCAATCCACGGCCCATGGCAAACTGATCTGTGCAAGGGTAGGCAAGGGTGCAAAGCTTCATTTGTGCATGTGCGGGATTAGGTTGTGTGCGCGAAACCATCCCCTCACACACACATACACACACCAGGGGTGATATCCACTTACCTTCGCTAATGGTTTCGTAAATGTAAGCGTGCACATGTGGAAGCTCACTTCGCTTGCCCGTGCCACCTCCGTGCATGCACAGGCCTTCCACTCAAGCGCAGAGCATCAAAAGAGGGACATTGTCTGGGCGGGTGTGTGGACCCTCCTTCAGCCAGTTCTATCTGGTTCGCCCGAACCAGATAGAACCGGCTGAAAACCACCACTGACACACACACACACACAGAGACACACACACATTCGCTGCTGCTGTTGGTCCATGGACCCAGAAAAGTTGGGGACCGCTGGTCTAGACAGTTATATTGATGAAGATATACTCATCAATGTGTATTAACATGATGGTTAGGAGGAATAACTTATTCCAGTTGATGAAGAGCTTACATTGGAGGGCAGCTGTGGCCTTCATATCCCAGAAGGACAGCATGAAGAAGTGCCTTCCCAAAAGAATTTACCAGGGCCATCCTGAAAAAGAAGGTAGTGCATTAGATGGATCCTAGATTCTGTTCAGCAGGGCTTGCTTGATGTTCTTATGAAATGAACAAAAAGTTCACATATTGCTCACATAATACATTTTTTTTAAAATTTGATTTATATGCCGCCCTTCTCCGGAGACTCAGGGCGGCTTACAGTGCATTCAGCAATAGCCTTCATACTTTTGTATATTTATACAAAGTCAGCTTATTGCCCCCACAAACTGGGTCCTCATTTAACCTACCTTAGAAAGGATGGAAGGCTGAGTCAACCTTGAGCCTTGGAGAGATTCGAACCAGCAGTAAATTGCAGGCAGCTGTGTTAATAACAGGGTGCTTTAAACCACTGTAGTACCAAGGCTCTTTTCATTGCAGAAACTTAGTTAATAATGATCCATTCAACAAAACATTAATTAGTACGCTTTCAGAGACATTGGGTATAAACCATGACGATTCAGGAAACAATAAAATGTGCATGGTGGCATCACAATGCAAACCTGGCCCTTTTATATTTGTGTCCTATGCCACACATTTTGTCATTTGCCTCTTGTTTACTCTAGCTCCCCTTCCCCACCTCCCATGCATGACATATTAATCCAATCAATGCTGTACTTGGGATCACGGCACAGCTGTAAACCTGTGTGGTCTTGTGTGTATCTTTGTTTTAGCTCTGGCTTCCTATTTAAAAAATTAAAATAAAATAGATTATGTTTAAGAAAATAATTTCCTTAGCAAAGGAAAGTGGAAGTAATGTTAAACCTTTTCATCACATTGCAATCAATATTTGCTTTAATTTTAACAATAAAATCAAATAATTTAGATTGAAAATGACATTTTCCTCTTATTTATACTCCACTGCTTCATTTATGGGTTTTTCCTGTTCTTGTTGTTGCAATACAGGGTTTATGTATCGTAATTGCACCAGGGAAGGCTGGTCAGAAAAATACCCCAAACCATATATTGCTTGTGGCTTAAATGCCAAACAACTTAATGCCCCTATAACTGAGTGGGAATCTAAGGTGAGTTCACTTCTTCAGCTATAATATTTTTGCACGCGATGGAAAATCCTTTATGCAAGCTCAAAAGTTGGTATAATGTTTGACCCTTGTGTAGAACATCAAAAAAAAAAAAGAAGAAGAAGAAGAAGAAGAAGAAGAAGAAGGGGGAGGTATTTTCTGAATGCGTAAAAGCACATTCATATTTTGCAGGTGCATAAATTAGCTATGAACATGTGAAAATTGGCATGTACATAGGTCCAGCCACTGTTTAGCATTCACAGAAATGTGAAAGTCAACATAAGAAGAAAGTCCACCACTGTCTCTATGTCAGTGATATCACTGATAACCACGGATGCAAAACTGCTGTTTCAAGGCAACAAATTCAACTTCAGAATGTTGGAAGAAATGTCCTTCTGGGTTCAGGTCCAAGTGTGGAGAAAGACACTGGAAACATGGTGGCTGCTTGGAAAGATGGTTTTTAATGGTGGACAGGATCTCATGCCTTGAAGATCTTGGGTGAAGAAAAAAAAGGGAAGAGATGCTGAGAGTGCCTGAGTTTTATACCCTCTCTGGGCTTTTGAAATTGAATTTATATTCTGATTGGTTGTCAGACTCCCATGGGGCCATGCAGGGGTAACTTTGTAGGTTGTGTTTTTGAGTTCCAAGCTTGGTTTGCCATCATGGATATAGGCAGTCAGTGATTCAGAGGTGAGTTCTAAATTTTTTTTACTATCGGTTCTGTGGGCGTGGCTTATTTTGTGGGTGTGGCTTGATGGTCATGTGACAATTCTTTAGGATTTAGCAGAGGTACTGGACTACCAGGCTTTTAACTGCTTGCAGAGCTGTACTGGTCTACCCATTTATTTTTGCAGGTACCGGTCTACCCATTTATTTTTGCAGGCACCGGTCTACTCATTTGTTTTTGGAGGCAACGGTCTACCACCAAACTGCCTTTTACCACTGATCAGCTGTAGGGCGGCCCTTTGAAGCACCACAGCAAGAATTTAAACAGTTTTTCCTTATAGCCCATCAGCTGGGATTCAGGAGGCAGCAATAGATTGGGGGTGGGGAAAATAAAAGGTAAGAATAACGCGGGGGGGTGGGGTGGGGCAGGGGGGCAGAACCGGTTCGGTGACATCATATCATCACTGCTACTGGTTCGGCGGAACCGGGTGGAACCGGGAGGAACCCAATACTGCAGTGATTGGCTGTTAAGTGACACCTAATTGGCTGATAGTTCTTTCTGTTGGACAAAAGAGCAAGTAATTGATGGGAGATTCACTGTGAACTCTATACTGCCCTTGTACCTAATATTCTGTATAGGTCTGAAAATAGTTTAAAGCCATCTCATTCAGTAGGTGCATTTTAAATTGGATTCAGAAGGATTGGTAGATCAGAAAAACCACTTGTCTGGAAGTGTTCTATATCTCTGAAATTTATAATTGCACTCACTTGACCTCATGGAACTGGATTTTCTCTTGGCGCACTGAAGGACTGGGTTCAACGAAACACACTGAAGGATAAATAGAGTGCCAACCTGACTGATTCAGGTCGAAACCCACTAATTTAAGAATTCACTGTGCTATATCTGTGCTATGGACAAACTTTGAAGAAGGATTCAACTTTCCTAAACCTACATGTTTGAAACATGGATGTGCAAATGGATAGGTGGGTCACACAGAAAGGGCAGGAATACATATTCTCTTTTTTGTCTGATTGGTGAATTATGCCCTTTGAAGGAGGAATTGGAGCAAGCCTTTGTTTTTGACACTCTACTTAATTACAGAATAGATTATTACAGCGGCTTCCACGAGGGACTGTCCTGGCAGACTGCCTGAAAATTTAAGTTACACTTGAGTATGCTGCCAACAGACTTAGATCGGAAGGTGCAATATACGAAAAGTGGGATGTCGTCATCGTTTGTTTCCTTGCCCTCTTTTAAGCAGGCCCGAGAGAGTTTTATTTTTGCAGTCATTTAATGGGCTCTTTTATTCTCAGAGGTTGTGCTTTATGAGGCTGCTTTTATTTTGCAATTTAGTTCCTTTGTAATTGTTGTGCACAGGCACTAAGCATTTTATATTCTGTTTAAATAGACATAGAGGTGGGATATAAAATCCAAGGAACAAAGACGTTTTATTATCATGACAGAAAATGCATTTTTTGGGGTTACTTTCATCTTTAGTCTATAAGTGCTTATTCCTTCTGCTGGGTTACTTGGATTCAGAGACAATAGAGCTGCTGCATGTAAGAAAAATAATTGTAAATAGCAACACCTAGTGATCCAATTTAGTACTGCCCAATTCAACAGCCTCTTTAATACATACCTTTTCAAAATGTTGGAATGGTAGAATCATATATCTGTCATTGCATTAAGTGAATTAGGTGTTGCCTTTGAGGGTCATGTGAACAAGGCAACTTAACATGCCTCAGATCAGGGGTGGCCCTTTTACAATCTGTGGACTTCAACTCCCAGAATTCCTGAGACAGCCAAGCTGGCTCAGGAATTCTGGAAGTTGAAGTCCACAGGTCATAAAGGGGCCATATTTGCCCACCCCTGCCTCAGATCATTGATTCCTACTGCAATCACATAAGTATTCATGAAGACCACCCCTGTTGCTAGACCATAATTAGCCATGCTCTGTCAAAAAAGCCATAGTGACTGAGCTTGCACATAACTCTAAATTGTAAACCTTGGCTTACCAATCATAATGGTGATGTTCACACATTAAACTGAGCCCCAAATAAATCACGTTCTGGTCTAGTGTAATATGTACCAGTATATCCCACTTCTGATTTACAGTAAATACGCTAAAAGGAATTACACACCTGGCTGGGGATATTTCTTTGTTTTGTTCCTTCCATGTTTTCAACCAAGCTGAGTTCTGCCAGAGAAATAACTGGGATTTGCAGAGAAAGTTATTTGCCTCAATTCATGGTGGTGCTAAAGTTTATTGCAAATAAAAGATACATTACTGTGATTGTTTTTTAAAAGCAACATTGAAAGGCTTCTTGTATGAACACAACTCCTACCTGAAAAAAATTATCCTTGGATGTCTTCTTACAGGTATCTTATCTCATGAAATTGGAGACAGTGTATACTGTTGGAAGCAGCATCTCCCTCATAGCTCTGGCAGCAGCATTGGGCATTTTAGCTTCTTTTCGGTGAGGAAGAATTATCCATATATTTTTTCCCTTTCCTTAGTTTATCTTGTAATGACCCACATGAATATGCCTCTGTGTATTAAATGATGTGAAACACTGAGATACTTTGAATCCTGTTCCATTCATTGGTGGCGTCGAGAGTGGAGAAATGATGAGACTCAGAGGTCTGACAATACTTTCCCATGATATGTTCAGAATGTGCCACCGTACTGCTTCATCTGCTTTTACTTGATCGTATGATACTGCATTTAATTTGTTAAGTGGATTTTGTATTTTTACACCATGTTTCCATGAGAGCCACTGCGCAAGAAATTAACATATTTTAGTTATCAGTTTTACCATACAGAAGCCCAACTCGGTTGCAGGATGTAGCAGAGGTCATATGATCTCAAAAAGTTAAAAAGGATTGAGATTCAAAAAGTACTTGCCTGTGAGACCACTAGAAAACTCCAGAACTTTAGGCTAAACTGGGAATTTGATTGAACTCTAGGGCTTTAGGCTAAACTGGGAAAAATCCTGAAAATAGGCAGTGGCAAACCACTTCAGCCAGGAAACCTATATATGTGTGTCTGTGAACTCACCCAAGTCCAGCTGAATTCATTTGAGTTTTTACCCTCAGGAATAAGCCATTTGATAAATCCATAATTTTAAAAATTTAATTAGGTAGATTTATATGGCTGCCCGACTTGCACACAGTGACTCTAGGAGGTGTCCAGCATTGAAAATCAACATTTTTTAATTTAATCAGCATATCGATTGAATGTTTAATCAACATTAAATATTAAGCTAGAGTGGCAATGTGCTCATCTTTGCATATAATTGGGTTCTAGGCAGTATGTTCTCCCTTACATGTAGTCCCCAGTGCCATTAGTGAATGGGTTCCACCAAGATGACTTGGAAAGTCGTCTGGCTGAAACCTTGAAAAGCCTGCTGCAGATTAAAGCAAATTATTCCAAGCAGCATAGACAATAGTAATGATCTGTCTTCCCTAAATCTTCATGTGGCTGATGAGAATACCTATTTTGAATCCTGCATAATGCTTTGTCTTCCCCTTTTGAATAGGAGACTCCACTGTACAAGGAATTACATCCACATACAGCTTTTTGCTTCTTTCATCTTAAGGGTGACTGCAAACTTTATCAAGGATCCTATACTGTCAGAGGACACAGATGATGCTGTCTACTGTGAATTACACACAGTAAGGAAGTAGAAATATATAGCCACCCAGTTCATTAAAGCATCAAAAAAGCTACATGAGAACGCAAATTGGGGGGGGGGGAATCACTTTTATCCTTTTTAAACTCAGATAAAGTTATTGCCACATTGCTTACTCTGGTACCTTTCTCTTGTTTATATAAATTTCAGTTTGAGAAGTTGTTAGTGTTTAAAGTGGCATAAATTGTGTTTAATTTGTCTTTGATTTTGTGACAGTAACAACTTGATTAAAATGATCAGCACAGATTAATTAGCCATATGAGCTCAGAGGAGAAACATAGGGCAAACATATTTGTAAACAATTTTGGTTAATTCCTAGTTAATATCAGACTGAAGAAAGTGTTATCTAGAAAAGCTAAGGTAGCAAGATTAGCGGTACTGGCTCAAGGTACTGTCCCCTGCAAGAGATCAAATATTTGCAGGAATTGGTCTAATAATCTTGATTATCTTTAGAAGAAACCGAAGCAGAAGCAATTTTACTGCTCAAAGGATTCTGGGATTAATACCTGATGAAAATGCTACCCTAGCCCATAGCTGGTGGAAAAATAAAAATCCCATGTAAAGGGCTCTTAGGAAATGAACTGAAAAATATACAGTAAAATATCCAGTATGAGGACATCTGGGACACTCTGGTGGTGATTTTCATATTTCAGCAGATTTATGACGTGCTTTTATGCTTCTGCTATGATAACAGAATGCCAGTGCAGACGGTCTGATGTAGCACGGTTCTTCTAAGGTATTGCGATCGAGGAACTGATAGACCACTGATGAATGAAGCTCAATGGGGCAAAGGTTCTCTGGAAGGGAGATAAAATGAAAATAAATGAAACATACCTTATTTATAATGTTTCTTGTTTCCTCTTCAGGGCAGGTGCAAGATGATCATAGCCTTTGTTAACTTCTGCATCATGGCAAATTATAGTTGGCTTCTTGTAGAAGGGCTTTATCTCCACAGCCTGCTGGCCATTTCTTTCTTCTCCGGCAGAAAGTTCTTCTGGTGGTTTGTGGCTCTGGGATGGGGTAAGCATCTACATAATTACCAGATAAGCATGTTGTCTAGGGATGTTCAGTGACCTATTGCAGAGTCTCAACGTACTCCCCTTGCCTACTTTGTGGCAGTGATCTCTTAGTTTCTCTCTCCCCTACATTGCCTTTGGCTCACTTCCCCCCCTCCCCCCCTTTGCATTTTGCTTCTGGTTTGTTCCTCTTTACCTCTTTACTCTTCTTCTTTGTCCTGGACTTTTTTCTCCTCTTCCATCTCTTTTCCTGTGCTTGGGGGGGAAAATGAGATTTATGCCCAAGCTCTTGCCACTGATATAACTGAATATGAACCTGCAAGCAGGTATACACCATTCCCTCCAAATACGATGCTGTAGAGGAATTTTGGGTTGTAATTCCCATTACCTTCACCCATCACCCTTATTGTTTGTGCAGCACTCAGCTGTGAAAGCAGGGGAATTGTCTTAATGGGTAAGGACATTTTGAAAGGTTATGTATTTCTGTGCACTTCAGCTTTTTGTTAGGTGTGTTGGGTCCATCCTTCTTTTATTTTTAGGCAGATCCATTTTTCCTTTTCATAAGGTTATTAGACTTGGTTATTATTATTCAAAATGTTCAGCTAACCTAATCTAGCTTTTCTTCTATATTATGAGTAGGCACTAACCACAAAATTGTTTTCTCTGTTGCAGGTGCTCCAAAGTTATTTGTAATTGCATGGGTCATAGCCAGACTATTACATGAAAATGCTGGGTAAGCACGTTTTCCAAACTCAGCAGTCTGTTTGTAAATCATGCTAAGACGCGGTTGGTTCCAACTGTGATTTACTGAATAAAGCAGAATACTAAAGTATCGCAAGTGTGCAAAATGTGCCATCGCAAAATGTTTTGATCCTGAAAGAAACTGCTCTGAATATTCTGGAAGTGATCTATCCTCAAAATAAGCCCATTTTGAATTTGTCCAGAACAGCTTCTGGATCGCTTCTGGAATATTTGAAACCATCTATTTTGTGATATCTAGAATTAGTTTTAAGGTTTGAATGTTTTGCAGCAGAACTCCTTTTAAGTTATAAAATAGCAGGGTTCATGTTGGTTTGTCAAAACTAAACAAATAACATATTATGGCTTTGTGTAAACACAGCAAATTATGCATTCATATATTTCATCACTCCACAAAATGAGTAGTAATTGGTTTAAAATCTGATTTTTTTTCTTTGTTTGTGAAGTGCTCAGGGATTCTGAGAAAAGAAAGAAATTCTGCTATTCGGTTAGAGAGATGAGCCCTTAATAAAAAGCCAGCTCTTATATTCCGTTCCTGAATATCAAATCTGCTTCTCTCTGATGGGTTCTGAGCATGACATTTTGATAATTATTGTGGAAACAAACAGGAGTGCTTTGTGAGATTGAGGAGAAGCATGGGCTTTGCACAGTTATGCCAAACTGTCCTTTTAAACACATTTTTCTAGAAAGGAGTGGCAATTTTGTAGAAATGCAGTGGGAATATACAGACTGATTAGAAAGAAAGAAAGAAAAAGAAAGAAAGAAAGAAAGAAGGAGGGAAAGAAAGAAGAAAAGAAAACAAAAGAGATAGAAAGAAGTGGGATCCTTAATGTTCCATGGTTGAACAGGGCAACTGCACATTTATTTTATTTTTTTATTATGAAATTGATATGCTCGGTTCAAGGCAACTCTGGGCAACTTACAACAAGTCTACAACATTTGTCTAAATCCCTAGAATTCTCATTTAAGAATTCACAATCTACAAAAGGACTGTTCCTGTCCCTCTTAATGATGGATAATAATGTTCCAATTAATCTGGTTTCAAAGCATTGCCATACCTGTTGAATAGATAACCTGTTTTCCCCAAAATAAGACATCTCCTGATAATAAGCCCGATCAGGCTTTTTGAGTGCATGGCAAGAAGGCCAAGCACTTATTTCAGTGTTCAAAAATATATATATATATAAGACAGGGTCTTATTTTCAGGGAAACACGATACCACAGGGAGATATCTTTTCTGCTGCTAGCTGCTTGTCCTGGAACTCACTTTTATTAATGAAGTAAAATAACAAGGTTATTTTAATGATAGTGATCCTATCCTCTGTTCAGATGAATCTAGCTTCCCAGGAATGAGCAATGTGCAGTGAAACATAGTTTGTTTGGCTCCATATGGATCCTTCTGCTGGGGTAAACAGAGTCAACATTATTTAGCATTTCATCAGATATTGAGATCCCGTCTTCTTGTTGCCAAACAAACCAATCCAGATTTTTAGCCTGGGTTTTTGAGGAAGCAATACACCAAATGATAGCGAGGCACATATTTTGGACTGACAACATGCAGCACAATTTAGCAACACACTCAATGGGTTATTTAGCTGTCGGGGCTAGCAGGAGACCTCAGCTGAATCAACAGACTATACAGAGTTCATTATAGTAACTTAGAACTGTTCTGTGAGAGCATGACATTTTCAGGAGCTTTTTGACTATAATTACAGGTGTAGCAATTATTATTTGCATTTCTTAGCATGATAAAATACAGTGTTTTTTTAAAAAAAAACTAGCTATTTTATTCTTTCTTAGCAAAAATGGCAGTTAAATCCCTTAAAACATGATTTATACATTTACTTTGTGCCTTCGAGTCAGTGCAGACTCTGGGAGATTGCTTGGACAAGTCCCTACAATTTTCTTGGCAAGGTTTTTCCAAAGTGATTTGCCTTTTGCCTCCTAGTTCCTAGGACTGTGAGAGAGGGACTGGCCCAGGTTTACCCAGCTGGCTTTGTGCCTAAAAAGTGTGAGACAAGACCTCATTGTCTTCCACTAGATGCCTTAACCACTACATTAAAGTGGCTCTTAAAACATGATCAGTGTACTGCAATGCATGCCATTCAGTTTTTTGATTTGGAGAATTTACCATCCAATAGGGCGAGATTTTGCAATGCTCTGATTCAAAGGAGACTGCATTCCAGTTCAGAAATTGGGGAATAAATTGAATGTAGCAAATGAAAATAAAAGAAGTTGCATTTTGGCAAGTTCCTTTTTTCCCAAGAGCCATTTTAGCTTAAGTTTTTACTTTACGATCAAATCAGGACAGGTAATTTACCTTTTTTAGGGCTTCAGAAAATTTGGAAAACAATCTCATGGGAGAAAGTGATATAGGTTCTTGCCAGAGGTGGGTTTCAGCAGGTTCTGACCAGTTCTGGAGAACTGGTAGTGGAAATTTTGAGTAGTTCAGAGAACCGGTAAATACCACTTCTGACTGGCCCTGTCCCCATCTATTTTCTGCCTCCCAAGTCCCAGCTGATTGGGAGGAAATGGGGATTTTGCAGCAATCTTCCCCTGGATTGGGGTGAGATTTTACAGTATCCTTCCCCTGCCACGTCCACCAAGCCATGCCCACCAAGCCACGCCCACTGAACTAGTAGTAAAAATATTTGAACATAAAATGACATTACAAGACATACAACATTTATATATATCCTCTCTTAAAAGCTATTTCATGATGATCTTCTAGTATTTATATTTTCTCCCTTTTCCCTTTATATTATTCCAATTTCTTCTTGTCCCCTCTCTTTTAATTACACTGTTATAATAATAAAAAATAAAAAAATTAAAAAAAAATATTTGAAACCCATCACTGTTTCTTGGGCAGAGGAGGAGGCATACCTAAAGAATTTTCCTCTGTTCTCACCACAGTCCCATAAGGTACAATAAAGGAGAGTGGCATCATGCTGAAAAAAAGATACAAATAAAATCTTTTCTGCAGATATCCAGTCACCCAAAATAGTGTGTGAGAGAGATTTATGAATTGATTTCATTTATAAGTACAGTACTTTACTTGATGATAAAATTCTGCCAGTGGTGTTTGGTTACTTTGGTCATCCAGAAAACATATCCTGGTGTCACAATGATCAAGGGGCTGTTCTCAATTAATGCTGACACAAATGGCTGCATTATTCAACTACACACTATTCAAAGAGATATTTCTATGGAAATCAAGGTAATTGGTTCCAGCTTAACCTTGCCAAAATAGAGTAACAAACTTTAACAAAGTTACTAAATATAATTCCTATCTATGTTCTAGATTAATAATCCTCTTAAATATTTAAAATAAATAAATCAAATGGACAAAAGCTAAACTAGAGCCTTCACTCATATTCAAAGCTATCTCCTATATTCTGCTTTGGTTCTCCAAAATGAGCCCCTTCTTTTTTGAACTTTCCCCAAACAGAACATCTCCTTTTGTTGTTGTGTACACAACAATTAGCATCAAAAAACCAATGGCAACCGTGTGGCCACCAGCTTTACATTAACTGAATTTTGACTTTCATTAAATGCAACCTGGCATCCATTTACAATTTGCACTAAAATTGAATATTGCACTATTTGAATTCATACTAATTTGTGATCTACCTGTATGTGTGCCTGTGTGAATCAGCCTTTAGCTCTACCGAGCAACAGAAAAGTGAAAAGCTTGGGTAGTGTAATGATTCCTTGCTTTGCTGCATCACTGCAAGTTCCTGAGTTCATCTGAACTTTTCAAAACTTCCTTAAAACTAAGCTCTCAAGTCCAAACAAGATTGTCCCTCTGCCTCACCCTCCCAATGTGCCCTCTTTTCTAATAATTATATGTGCCTGCTGTAAATTTCTATAATGTGATAGATGGTAAGAAATACCTGATGGTTACATTCTTCCATGAAATATTTCTCTCAGCACAGAGTTTTCTAGGATGTTCATCCACCGGTTTTTCTAAATGACAACCTATTATTCATTCGACAATTGCAGGTTTGTTTGTTTGTTGTTTTTCCAGGTGCTGGGATATGCATCTTACATATGCCCTGTGGCTCATTCAAGGCCCGGTGGTGGCTTCTATTGTAGTAAGTCTACTTCACATCTGATTTCCCAGATAAACACTTGTCTATTTCCCCACTACCAAGTTATAGCGATGTATGTTGTAGTGCCGAGATTATTAGTGTTACCTAGGATAAAGCTTGTATGCTCAACAATGAATGGGTGATCCGAGAAGATGTAACAAAATGCTGGTGGAGGAATGAGGTGAGCGTGGTGAAGAACTACCTCATCTCACTTGTACTTCCTTGTTTTGTAGATCAATTTCATTCTATTTGTTAATATTATAAGGATTCTGATGAACAAACTGCGATGGCCAGATGGAAGAGGCAAGGACTCCAGTCAATACAAGTAAGGAGGCTTCTTTAAATAGCCTCACAAATAAACGCAACAGCAAACAAAATGACCAGGGGGCGAAGGTTTTCTTTGTTTGCAAGTCATGGATCTGTCTAGAAAGCTGCCTCAAGGATGATTGCCCCATTACAGTGAAGGGTGCTAAACTTATCTATGTTTTTATTTAAGACACCTGTTTTTATGCTCACCTATGTTATTAGGAGCAGAGAATAGAACAAGATGCAGAGTTCCAGCTATGTAACAGAGAACCTCAACTCTTGCTAAAAGTCAAGTGTATATCATAACACTGTAGGAGAGGATGAACCCACCCTGTCAACATCTTTGGGGGAAACAGGAAAAGAGGTTATTCAGGGAAGACAAGGTTTCCTTAACTTCTAAGTGGCAATGTAACACATTGAGATGACCCCAGCTAGTATAGACCTATCTGTATCCAAAAGCCAATATTAAACTGGCCCTCTTTTTAAAAAAAATATATTATTATTCTCATCATCATCATCTCTTTTATTCATTAAACATGAAACTCAGTCAACTGGACATTTTAAAATCTGTCACAAATACCATTGACCGGTGCTATTGGTTGATATGGGTTGCTGCCAGTGTCCTAGGTATCAACCAAGTATCTTCTTAAAATATATGATGTTCCGAGTAGCGCAGTTTTTTGCAGTTCTGCTGGTGTTATTGCAGGAAGCTGCAATTTCTTAATGTTAAATTATTATTATTATTATTATTATTATTATTATTATTATTATTTATATTATTATTATATACTTTATTCATTAAACATGAAACTCAGTCAACTGAACATTCAAAAACGCATCACAAATACCATTGACTGGTACTAATGGTTGATACAGGTTGCTGCCAGCGTCCTTGGTATCAACCTAGTACCTTCTTAAGATGTACGGTGTTCCAAGTAGCGCAGTTTTTTGCAGTTCCACCGATGTTATTGCAGGAAGCTGCAATTTGTTGATGTCTCTTATAAAATTCTTGGACATGGTACCAGATGATGATGATGATGATGATGATGATGATGATGATGATGATGTTGTTGTTGTTGTTGTTGTTATTATTATTATTATTATTATTATCATCATTATCATCATCATCATCATCACCATCACCATCATCATCACCATCACCATCACCATCACCATCATCACCATTATTGTCATTCTCTCTTTCCTTGCTCCTAGGAGGCTTGCTAAATCAACATTGGTGCTCATCCCTCTCTTTGGAATCCATTACATTCTTTTTGCTTTTTTCCCTTTTGATACCACAAATGGCACCATGGAAGTTCAAGCTCTGTTTGAAAAAGCCCTGGGATCTTTCCAGGTAAGAGAGGTTAATGAAAAATTCCTTAGATACTTAAATTAGGATCTCAGAGAATGCACGTAAGCACAAAAGTAGTGAAGCCACCTTCCCCAAGCTGGTAACCCTTAAATGTGTTAGGGTTACAACTTCTAGAATGGTGTATGTTGTGGGGGGGAGGCTGGCCTACCATGTTAACAAGTTCACACTCTGGTGTAACTCCTATCTTCTGCATCAAACTATTTCATGCTGTTTTTGTTTCAAAGCTCCTAATGAGTTTACTAGCATAATTGGTAAAGGCATTTTGTAAATAGAACACGTAGGATGCTGCAAACCACCCGCAGGTTCAGCCTAAAGTAAACATCCCATCCTCCGCCTTGGTCTTTGGAACCATCGAAGCTGCAAAGTAATCTCTCCATTTCGCCACCTGCATCACATTTCAGTGTGATTTTTTTTTTTTTTTAAATGACGTTCCATCTTCCTTCTGGAATGGCAGGCCGCCATTTGCTATTGTGTATTTCATAATGAATAATTTGCTTGTTTTGTTTCAGGGTTTGGCTGTGGCTGTGCTTTACTGTTTTCTTAATGGAGAGGTGAGCTTCCCATGGACTGAGATTTAGTCATGAATCCTGCTGGATAAGATCAAACGTTTGTCTAACCCAGCATCCTGTTTCCCATGGCAGCCCACCAAATGCAGGGCTGGAGAACAATAGCACTTTTCACCATAAGTTCCCCTTCAATCAGCAGTAAGGAGCATGCTATTCCCGATACTGAGATAGATCATGTAATATATAGCCATTACTGCAAATACAGTTAGCTTCACCCTATGTAATTTTGAACATTTTATTCTTATCTGTTTATCATTCTCATAAATGGAGAACATGCAACAAAGCTACTAATCCAGGCAATGGCAACATCTAACTTTTAAAAATAGGAGCAAAGAATCCTTATGAAACTAGTTTAAATCCTTGTTCACCCATGGCATTAAATCGTGGGTTACCAACATGGTATCCCTGGGCATCAAGAACGGTGTTGGGCAGTGGTTAGAATGCATTACTGCAGGCTACTTCTGCAGACTGCTGGCTGCCGGCAGTTCGGCAGTTTGAGTCCCTCAGGCTGAAGATTGACTCAGCCTTCTATCCTTCCGAGGTCGGTAAACTGACGACCCAGATTGTTGTTGGGGGCAATATGCTGAAACTGTAAATCGCTTAGAGGGCTGTAAAGCAGTGTAAAGTGGTATATAAATCTAAGTGCTGTTGCTATTGCTATCAGCATGCCTCTTGGGCTCCATGTTTCACCTAATTTTTATATTATTGATTTTGACCCTTCTAATAAACAGAATAAATGGGAGGCTAGTATATTGCAAACTGAAGTGTTTATCTCAAACATCAGCTTTATTTTACTTTCAAGTCCCACACATATCCCAAAATAGCTTCAGAAAATAAAATCAGGCAGAGTTCACTTGCCCAAGAAAAATAAATAAATGGAAAGGATAGTGATCTTAAGGGAGTAGAGGTGGTGATTAATGGCGCGATCAGTTTATTCTTGGTCATAGAGTTACTATTGCTCCCACCACTAAAGTCGTTTTGTGAAAATGCCCTAAGATACTTTCAGAATTCCAGATGACCCAGCAGGGTTCAGGACTTTTGTTGGCATTTTGTGTGTGTGTGTGTGTTTTTAATGTGTTTTATGTCATCTGCAAACTTGATAAGTTCCTGTTCTAGTTCGGGAAAAAAGTGACTCTACTGCTCTTTTGGACCACACTAGGAATATGTAGCTAATGCCTTTTAAAGGCCATCTTTCTTAATGGTCTCCACTCAGTGTTGGGCTGCTGGGGTTCAGGAGATTCTGTGCAGTTCGGAAAACCCCCAAATCCCACTCCTGGCTGGCCCCGCCCCCCCGCCCCTCCCAGGAGTCCCCACGTGGCATGTTTTGGATGCAGGTAAGTGCAGGCTGTGCACCGAAGTTCGGGGAGGGTGAAAAACAGGCCTACCGGAAGTTTGGGAAGGCTGGAAAAAGGCCCGTTTCCAGCCTTCAGAGGGCTTCCAGAGCCTGGGGAGGCCATTTTTGCCCTCCCGGAAGCTCAAAGAAAGCCTCTGGAGCCCAGGGAGGGCAAAAATGCCCCCCCCACTGTGGTGCAGGAGGCCAACTAGGCCACAGCCACCATGGCCACACCCACCCAGCAACCAGGCAGAGAACCCCTTGCTAAAATTTTTGAAGCCCACTCCTGACTCCACTGCAGGCTACTGATTTTTTTTATTCAGATCTGTCCTTTCTTCCAGTTGCAAATCGGATGGAGGGATTCTTGCACCAGTTGGGCTCCCTCTATTTTCTTTTCTTTTCTTTTCTTTTCTTTTCTTTTCTTTTCTTTTCTTTTCTTTTCTTTTCTTTTCTTTTCTTTTCTTTTCTTTTCTCCTTTCTTGTGCTGCCCCTCCTTAAAGTGCTTGATAAATCATTGTCATTCCAGTTGATGTGAAAGAAACTTTTTTCCTCAAACCAGAAGAAGGTTTAGGTACAGTAACCATGATTGGGATATGGAATTATGCCCCAGCTTTTGCTGTACAAGCATCTCCCTTGCTGACTGGTGTCTCTTGAGGAAGAAATTGGGGTGGGGTGGGGGAATATTTCTATGCAAATCTTTTAGATCAGGAAGCCAAGAATCCAGGGAGGAGCTGTGGGGACTTCCACAGAGGCTTCTGCCTGCCTTTGAAATCAGCTATATTCTCACAAAAGCCTTTGTGCTGGGGGTAGCTTTGCTGATTTAATTCCAGCCATCTGCAGCACACAAGAGAAATAGCAATAGCACTTAGACTTATATACTGCTTCATAGTACTTTACACCCAGTGGTGGGATTCAGCCAGTTCGCACCACTTCGGGAGAACCGGTTGTTAACTTTCTGAGCAGTTTGGTGAACTGGTTGTTGGAAGAAGTCACTAGGGCAGAGAACCGGTTGTTAAATTACTTGAATCCCACCACTGTTTACACTCCTCTCTAAGCGGTTACCAGAGTCAGCATATTGAGTTGGTCAGGATCGAACTACTGACAGTTGGCAGAATTAGCCTGCAATACTGCATTCTAATCACTGTGCCACCATGGCTCTTAATGATCAAATGGTCAAACCATCCTTGAAACTCTGGGAGGGGGGGCTTGGGGACACTTTGTTTTCTCATTTGCTGGAGTTCTCGCCTCATACCCCCCTCCTAAAAGCAGAACTTGGATCGGTTTGGTTGAATTGCCAGACTGTCTTACTAGGTAATGTACCTTATGAGGGAACCTAAGGGAAGCAGGGAGGAAAAGAGGAATATTGGAATTAGGGGAAGTTCTTAAGAGATCTTCCTAGAAGATTTTAGCTTTGTCTTTCAGCATCCAGAATAGTCTTGATCTTTGTTTTTTTTCTTGGTATGTCTGGGTGGAGAAAGAGTGTTATGTAGAACAGGAAGAAACAGACTAGTGAAGTTTTAGGAGACATATTTAGAAGAGTACAAAGATAGCCTTGAAAGGTATGCAACAACCATGGTAAAAAGATCAGCACAAAAAATCAAAAGAGGTTGGGAAAGAATCTCAAATTTCTTAATAATGATGGACAATATGGGAAGGGTGAGGGAGCAATTTGGATGCCTGCTGGCAAGTAGGGCTAGTTTGGGGTCTCCAGCAGTTGATGGGTATGCCTTCTTCCTCCCTGGAGCAAGGGGGCCCTTGGGAACAGAATGAGAAGCAAGGGTGCCATTTTTCTATCAGTCCACAAATCTCTTTATTCCTCCCCCCCCCAAATGTGGCAGGCAGTTCCAAGGGTCAGCCAAGGAGGAAGAGAAGGAATGATTTCTGATACCCCCCTGCCAGCTTCTTAGAAGCAATATCAATAGGGAAGCCAGCAGGAAATTGGAAGTCCCTTCCATTCCCACTGTTGTTGTTTTTTTTTTGCCCTACCTGTGATCATTCCATATCTGCTTAAATAAGAAAGTATCTCTGAAAGGATGATTCAATGGGTCCTGGATTATCAAGTCTTTAAAATCTTTACAATGCAATGTCATTTCTCTTGTTACCTCAGCCCATTCTTCTTTTTGTTTCTTCACCACATTTGTCCATTTATTAGCCTTTCTGATCTTCCTTTCTCCTTTTCTACTTGTATACCCATGATTGTCTACTACAATTGATTGTCCCTGCTAGTGGGACTCAGCCACTTTGCACCACTTCAGGAGAACTGGTTGTTAACTTTCTGAGCAGTTTGGCAAACTGGTTGTTGGAAGAAATAATTAGGGCAGAGAACTGGTTGTTAAATTACTTGAATCCCACCACTGGTTCCTGCCCACATTTTGGCTTTGCTTCCTTCCTCTGCAGGCAAGTAATGGCTAACCACATACCATCAGGGTAGGATATTGCTTGACTTGAGACTGATTTATCCTTGTTATTGACTGCAAAGGTAGATCCCCTATGTTGGAGAGGGAGAGGACGTCCCCTTTCTCTTAAGAAAACCACGAGCCTTCTTACTAAACTGAAACTTTTTGTTCAGGTCCGGCAGGAACTTCACAGAAAATGGTGGCAGTGGCATTTAAGGAAGCATCTCGGTACTCATAAGCACCACAGCTCTTTGTTTCCAAATGAAGTAAGCGGGCTCACTCAAGTCTTGCAGCTGACAAAGCCTGGTTCTCAGGAGGAAAGGCGACCTTCTCACCCAATTCTGAGTAAACTGTAAATGTTTCCAGGGCACACGAGGACATGCTAAAACTCAGAGGAAACTTGCATTACCTAATCGGGCATTGTGGTTCAGGACTTAAAAGCTAGTTGTTAGCTCTCCCTGGAGATTGACTTAGGCTATGGGCCTGACCTTGCTATCATGTGGATTATTTTGAAAAGATGATGTGTGAAAAATAATTTCCAAATAGAAGGCTCATCCTATTGTGACCCAGGCCCAAGTAAGTAGTATTAGACGCAAACAGTTCCAAAACAAACAGACTTTATTAGAACAGCTGAGAATTAACTCATTCTAAGCATAGTCCAAACTAAATCAAACCAAATTCTTCATAAGACAAATTCTTCAGTCTAATCACCAACCTTGGTATAATTAGGCAAACTGCCAAAGGCTTCTCTTGGCAAAAGTTCAGAAGCAGAAGATGCCAACCAGAGATAAGTGCAGCAAGACAAGAACAAGTCTATCAACGTTGTTTTCCGACAGAGAGCCTAAGAACCGTTGCTGGTCTTTTAAGCCTTATGGGAGGGGCCAATCATCTCTTGGTCCTACTCCCAAGTCATCCTCTTTGCTTTAGCTGCTCTTGCCTTCTGGCAGCTCTTCTCATACGTGCACTAGGAACAGGCTCCTCCTGTTCCTCTGCCTCTCTACTGTCAGCCTCTGGAGGCTCCGGAGTCTGCACATCACTCCCCGATGGCCCTAGCCCCATTCCTGCCTCTGACACAGAGCCCTCATCCGGGCCTTCCCCAGCCTCCAGGACTGGCCCATGTTCTTCCTCAGCCTCATCGCTGTCTGACTCCGCTGCCAGCTCCACAGGCTGTTGGCGGACCACAACACATCCCTCTCAACTTGCTGGTTTTGTTCTTTGGAATCTATCATTTCAAAAGAGTGTACTTTCTCTTCTCTGTTTGGTTCTTTATTGGAGTGAGGATTCTAAACAGTATTGCCATTTTCTTTATGACTCTGACTTAGAAACTGGTTATATATCTTCGGTAAGTGTTGCATTGTGTAAACATGATAGAGTGTACATTTTTTTGGCAGAGAGAAAAGATATCTCTTTGGTATGGAGCCCATGCCCACAATTAAATTGAGGGATTTTTTTAGGCATTGTATATGGACATTTGAGTTTGCTGTTTGGAAGTCTTGGCAATTCAGCTGCCACAAAAGGCCTTTACAACTTCCTCTTGAGAGCTGATTGTGGCTCTGTGGGACTTGGGGCTGCCACTTGGAAGCTAGCTAAAAACGATTCACTCTGTGAGAGACTGCTGTATATCTTCAATTCATCTAAGACAGAAGTTGGATTAGAAAGATGCCCATTTTTCTGACATGATTTCCTGTTGTATTCTGAGCCTAATTTGAGAGATTGCTTTAGATTCACAAAGCTCCAATGAATTTGGGAGGTGCCATGCATATATCTGTGTTTCTTTGCCTTCAACTAGTGTTGACACCTGATGATGCCTGGACAAGTCCCTGCAGTTTTCTTGGCAAGATTTTGGAACTGGTTTGTCCTTTCTGGGGCTAAGAGAGAGAAAATGGCTCAAGGTTTCCCAGCTGGTTTTATGCCTAAGGAAGGACTCAGTCTCCCAGTTTCTAACCTGATATTTTAATTATTACAGAACAGAATTCTTTATTGGCCAAGTATCAAAGTGGCTTTATGTATCTACAGTATTACTCTTCCCAGTTCTGTGGTACTACATTTTGCAGCATCTCTGACCATTAGCCATGCTGACTTGTACTAATAATAGATCGAGTCTAGGAAGGTCTGGAGCAGTATTTTTCAACCTTGACCACTTGAAGATGGGTGGACTTCAACTCCCAGAATTCCCCAGCGAGCCAAAAATTCTGAATTGGTCCACATATCATTGAGTCATTGAAGCACTTAGAGGTTTATCTGTGTCCTCAAGGTCACCTGAGTAGTGCAAATGGTTCCTGTGGTCTGCAGTTTTTTCCTCTGGAAATCCGTTAATACTTCCACATTATTTGATGCCAAAGTACATGGCTATGTCCCTCAGGACACAGATAAACCTCCAAGTGCCTCAATGACTCTCTGAAAGGATGCAAATTACCAGCTGTCTGCAAGGAATATAAATCCTTCAATTCCCCACCATCCAATCAAAGCTGAAGGAGCTTGTTGGATGAGAAATGAAACGTTTTCAAAGAAAAAACAAGAAAAATCCAGTTGCTTCCTGAAAAAGCACCTTTGGGACTGATTTGGAGGGTTCCTTATCCCTGCTTTCCATTGACTGTTTCTCATTATCAAACTGTTTCAAGAGTGCTCTTTTAGCTACTTAAATCTTTGTAATAATTAGCACATCAGTGGCATTTGCAGTGCCTTTCTTCTTCTTCTCCTCCTCCTCCTTCTCCGAATTTTTCACAAAAAATAAGACAGGTACTGTAAACTTGCTAAAACTCTAGCTATTTTACATTGGTTGGACAATGTTCAAACTAGTACAGATAGTTCATGTCAGACTTTTGCTTGCTGTGATGAGTTGCATCAGTGAATATTGATTTTGGCAGTAGCTTGAATTGACAGTTACCAGTATTGTTCTGTGGCTTTGGGAAATCATCTCATTGTGAAAGTTAAGCATGTGTTTTCATATTATTGAATTTGATTCTAGTTTATCTGCTGCCTGTGCCAAATATCTCTACAGTGAAAGTACTGTTGTATTTAATAGTAGTCACAAATATAATATTTCTGGGCCATATGAGCCAAAAAACCAACAACCACCCACAACTTCAGCCAAATTATTTAATTCGGTTTTATTCTGTTTTTAAATTTTGTATTTATGTGTTTTTATCTTGTGGCTGTTCACCGCCCTGAGTCCTTCGGGAGTAGGGCGATATACAAATCAAATCAAATCAAACAAAACAAAACAAACTTTTTTTTCTGAGCCAACAATGACTTTTGTGGACTCTCTTCACTCCTAAATTAGCTTGCCCTATGCAAGTGGTCCCTGGGTGTGTTAGATTATTATCTCAAGCCAGTATGTACAAGGTGATGAGATCTGTTGTCCAAGATACTTGGATGTTCCTGGAACAGTTAGACATTTCACACAGAGCCTACAGCTACATTCTGCCCATTTTGGTTTTCTATGATTGAGTTCACACATTATACTATGCTGAAAACTGTCAGTATAGATTTTTATCTTGTTATGGTGGAGAACAGATTAAACTTTTAGAATAAGCAGAGAAAAATCTGTCAAAGCTGGCTGATCCATTGCTGAACAGTTTTACCATTAAGACTTTTTTTCCTGATTATAGCCCACAATGCCTGGAGATCATTTAATCCAACCTCCTGCATCTGCATATGGGAGTGGGAGAACCAGTCCCCTTGTATATGCTTGGCTTTCACAGGGTTTTACTCAGTAAAAGCATAAAAATAAATCAACCCCATTCTCCCGTAGGTTAATGACCAAAGTGTAATGTCAACAGTTCTGACAACTGTGACCCAAGACTCTCTACTGAGGATCTCAAGTAATTTAGAAGAGAGAGAACACATTTTTTTAAAAAAATTGTATAAGCAAAATGGGAACACTGTCAAAAACTTATTCTGGACTTTTCTCCTCAAATTACCTGCATGAGCTCTCAATGGAGAATTGCTATATATAGCAAACATAACTGTGTTGTGTAGCCTTATATCTCTCAATTATAAATATACTGTATAATTAAGCCTGGTGATGCCAATGAAATTATTAGTTTTATTCATGGGGGTATCACACAAATTAATTTTTCATTTTAGGATGCTGCCAAGTTTGAGAACCAACTCATTGAGGTAGCTGCTTCATGCATCCTTAAAGCATGAAGGTCAGCTTGGTGACTTTGAGCAGTCATTCTCTCTCTCTCTCTCAGCCTAACCTTCTTCACAGGGTTGTCGTTGTTGGGAAAAGAGGGGATAGAAGGAGTATTGTGTGGGTTCGTCATCTTAAGATATTTATAGAAATAATAAAGGCAGGATTTATCTCTCTGAGTGGCCTCTGGCTATCTGTTCTTGTCACAGGATCTTTATGATGCCCCTATCTTTGGTGCCTTTGTTGCAAAAACATTAGTGGCTTTAGGCTCTGTTAATATCAACTGTTATCTGGGAATGCCATGTACACTTGTTTTGTTGTTAGAAAGTTATGTTGGCATACGTGGCTACCTGAACAGAAATTCAAAGTAAAACAACCTGTTTGTTAGCCCCAGGTGAGAGATCAGTATATAGACCCCAAGACAGGAAATGGGGGGAAGAGCTGTCACACATCATGCCAGCATGCTTAGATGGTTCTCTGTCCTGATCATAATACGGATTTACTGGAGTAATTAAAATTAGGGTTTTTGTCTTAATTCAACCTTGTCATGCTTAAGCTTTGTCTTGAATTGAACTTTGCAATAATGGTAAGAAGCATTATCTATGTCAATTTAGTTCTGGCTATGCTTCCATCTTGTGTGCTCTCTTTCTCACCTACCCACCTTTTTGTGAATGTGCATATAAGCATGCATACTTTAATATGTACAGTTGCTGGAGACAAAAAGTCTGAGAGCGCTTAATAATACCCATTAATATCAATATTCCATAAGTCATTTTGACATGTCTGTCTTGCCTATCATGATCATTTTGAAGCTATCCTTGACTTACGACCATTGGATTTAGTGACTGAAGTTACAACAGTACTGAAAAAAGTGACTCACAATCAGTCACCACACTTACAATCGTTACTGTCCCCATGGTTGCAATTCAAGCAGTTGACAACTGGCTCACATTTACAACAGTTGCAGCTTTTTGGGGTCACATGACTGATACTTGTAACCTCCCCAGCTAAATTTCAACACAATGAGTGGGGAAACTGGCAGGGAAGATCCCAAATGGCAATCATGTAATCTCTCGCTTAACGGATATGGCAAAAAGATGTAAAATTGGGTGCAGTGACATAGTATCTCGCTTAATAAGTGTATCTCTTAATGACAAATTTTCTGGTCCCGATTATGGTTGTAAATTGAGGACTACCTATAAACCGAGTGAATTATCATGATTTACCAGCTCAAGCTAAATAATTAATGTCTGAAAAGAATTTCCTGGCTGGATTTGATCCATGGATAATATACCTTACCCCAACTTTCCTCAACTTCATGCCATTCAGAGATGATTAATTTCTATGAGGCATGAATAAGGAAGCCAGTATCCTCAGGCAATTATTTATCCCTAGAAGGTATATATCCCGACCATGCAGTATTCCTGAATCACTATTGTTTTCTAAAGGTCAGTCTCCATTT